CAAAAAGAATTTACATAATCAAAATTTTGATAAAATTATTATTACAGAACATTATTGATAGCTTTAACAATAATTATAAGTGCCAAGTTTTATGGTAGATTATAATAGGACACTTCCATATTTGCATAAATAATAAAATATAAGATATCCACTATATCTTAAGATCACTAACAGTTTATGAAATTTTATTATTGAAATGCTTACAAAACTTATTTCCTTGCAAAAGTTGTATTTTTAAAGCCACATACAGACCAAAATTAGTTTGAATAGTTTGAAAATTGTTTGAGAGCTGTTTGTGAACTTAATATCATCATCAAAAGATTTGTATGTATTGCTCTTGGCATTTTATTTGCAAGTTCATCAAACATTCAAGAACAAACTTGTTGACACCTACTGCCTCAAGAGCGAACTTGCTCCGAGTTTGAGAGCATTCTAGTACTGTTTGCAAGCACCTGCTACAGTTCACCAAGTTCATGAATTCTTTGGCTTTCAAACTTGGTCTGTATGTGGCTCAAGATACCATGCAGTCAAACAATGAATCAATTCTCTGTTTGCAACTGTTTCAAAAGTGTCAACTTTACATTTTTTTACCCTATGCTCCAAACTCCACCATAAGAACAAATTTATAGACTTTTATGTACTGAAGATATAGTGGATACAATGATATATATTATTAAATCATTTGGTAATAATTAAAATTTAATAAAACTATGCATATTTATACTCTTTATAAAAATAATTAAGATGTTAAAAATTCAGCTGTTATATTTGGAAGATTGAGTAAAGCTTTATCAAATTAATTCAATATCTGACAGTTGTCTGATATCTAAAGTGAAGAATTTTAAGTCTGCTTAGTATATAAATCAAATTTAATCATTCACACGTATTAAAAATAATATGCATAAGATTATGGTTTAGTTTTCTAATGATAATTCCAAATATTTTGAAGTATTCAAAGAATTATTTTTAAGATTCATTTTCATCCTCTTGTATTTGTTTTCCATAATATTTTTGAGTCATGTTAAGCTTATTTCTGACTTCAACAAATATTTTAGTGTTGTCTGATCCACTTATATATATATGTGTGTGTTTGTGTGTGTCCAAAACTGAAAAGTAAATTGAATATTGCCATTTTTACTTAGTTTTACTTGCATTAAGGCAATTTTTATTGCACAAAACATAAAATTTACAGTAAATCAATTTTATAACTTTATATATACACTGAAAAGCATACTTAATGGTTAAGATATGCATATATTCATTCCATAGATGGCTTATGTCTTTGTATTATATTATGAATGAACTGCCACAAGCTCTCAAGTTTATTTAACACATTCAATTGCCAGTTGATGTAATTCTGCATTGTGTGACCATCACATGATGCAGAATTATATGTTAAATTGATGAAATTATAAAATTTTGATTATTAGTAATAAATATTTATATAAAATAATTGATGCTTAGAATAAAAATCTATCAAAAGTTGGTAATTACATTTATTTTTCTGTTGAGACTTTGTGTTCTAGAAAATTTTGTGGGTTATACATAATAAATTGCAGTAGTCTGACATGTAGATTATCTAAATAAATTTTTGTAGTGAAGCTGCTATTTATTTATTTTCCTCAATTAAGTATTATTTAGAAAAAGATAAGCTTTAGAATCTGTCAAAATGAAAAATAATACAGAAAATTCAGTTATTTACATTTATCAAGTAATATTATATTATAAATTCAACAATTCTTCTTAATTATAAAAAATGTCTTATTTTATGAAGTGAGTCTTTTTCTAAGTTTAAGTTTTTATAAATGATTAAATAGGATCCAAAAAACCTAATGATTTGATTGTTTCTAGAAATTGGCAAAAGTATTAACAGCATTTATAAGTAAATATCATCATTTATGAGGGTTTCACACAATATTATTTTCAGTAACCAAACTACTATAATAGAAATCTAATTATTTAATTTTGTTTAGTGTTTTATTCATCTTAGTTTTGTATATTGCTGCCAATCTTCCAGTGCTGAAGTTTTCTAAACAAAACTTCAATAATTATAATAATAATTTGAAATGTATTCTTTAAGAAACTTTAAAATTCTTGTTAAATGGTTGTGTTTTACAGAAATAATGATAAATATGTATTAGTATAATTAATATGCTATCTTGTAAATTGTTATACTGCCTTCAAAGTGGTACACACAAAAATATTTCACATTAAAAAGCTATATTTTCTAGTATAAATCAAACTTTATCTGTGTTGTGCCATTTGTTTGTACAGAAATCTTATTACAATTATGTTTTGTTAGTTTTTCAATTATTTTCTCTCCCTTGAGCATTAACAGGGTCTTTTTTCGTTTCCATTATGAATTTGGCCAAGCAGTGAGGGATGTGGCCTTACATACAGGGACAAACTGCCCAGAAAAGCTTTGTGAGGTTCCGACCCAGATTTGTCATGGCAGTGGGCTGATTTTTTAAGCCATCTGCTGTAAGATTGCCAAAATCAGAAGATATTAGTACACATGGTATATCTTTCATTCACAGACATTGTCTCAATGCACATGTTGGCATTTATATTCTTGTGTTATCCTGTTGGAACTATATACTCTGTTAGAAGTTAGCTTTTACAAATTTTGGACATATATATGTTTTCAAAACTGTTTTAGATGAATAAATTTTCACTACATTGTGACTTTTTGTCAGTGCAAAAGCAGTTTGTAATCTTATTCAAGAATTTCTCTGTACCAAGACCTAAAGTTCTGGATGCTGAGAACACTAGTAAATATTCACCAATAAATAACAAATTATGCAAAGTATTCATTATTAATGAGTTTCTTAATAATAAACACTTTGCTTTTCTCTAAGTTGGCAGGACCTTTATTGGGTTTGACTGAAAGAATATTAATATTTAAGAAAATTCCAGCATGGAAGAATCCCATAACACGTTTACTTTTTGAGGCTGAGAGTCAAATAATACCCTATATTTAAATGTTGATTATCAATATATTGCATAGATTAATGTTGTGTTGAGCTTAAAATAAATTTGGTAATGTTTAAGAAAAATTTATATCTTTCATATTTTGAAATTTTAAGTGTATTTTATTCCTAAGAGCTAAGTATTTGAGGTAATGTTTTGTATTGTGAATTTCATTCATGTTTATAGAATATATTTTACACTGTACTAAGTCAGTGTTATGTTATGATGTTTACATAACTTAAATGTATATTTATGAAAAATAATGAATAAAATTAATCATGTTAACTTAAATGTAATTTTAATATTCTGAATAAAATGATTCTTTGGAGTAGGAATGCCCTAGTTTTAAGAACATTTGTGCTAGATAATAGTAGAGAGAGTAATAATCTAGTACAAACTTTCTTAAAATTGGGACTTTTTGCATTTCAAAGGATCACACTAAATAAAGTGACCAGGACCCAAAATTTAAAAAAGTGTGACCTAGGCTGGATGTTTCAATGTCATGTTAGATGTGTGATCAGTTTATTTAATCACATTATCATTTGAATAGAATTAGGAAACAGCCCAAAATCGAGGCAACATATTAAAAAGGGTGGCCATTCCAGCTAATTTGGGACATCTGGTCACTTTAAATATAATTTTATGTTTACTTCCATTTTCATATATATATATATATATATATATAGTGTTTGTATGTTCAGGAACTAGAATATTTTATCTGTTACTTTGAAATCCTCTTCCACTATGAATGTTCTTCAGCCATTTTGTATCTTTATTAAAAAAAAAATGTAAGTAATTAACAATACAGTATTTTATTTCTATGTATAAGGGCATTGTATTAAATTCGTTAGAATTTTACATTTATTTACTTTTATAAATATAATACAATTAAAGCATAAAACGATTTAATGTAACCTTTATGTGGTAAAGAAGTCATATAATCAATTGTACAGTGAGTTATTTCTAATGTATTGGCAATATATTAATGATGTTTAAAATTGAAATGTTGTTCGTTATGATTTCATTGTATATATTGTTGTTGATTATTTTAATTGTTGAATAAATATATAAAAATATTTTGTGTGTGATTAGAAGTGATATTACATTGACATTTACCTGCCTAATATACCGAAGTGAATATTCGTGGTTGCACTTTATTTTCTACTTCGCAGCGATCTTAATGTATGAATTGATGTATTCCATCCTTTAATACTTGAGTACTGTACTATACGTCCTGCAAAAAATGGCTTACAATAAGGAGAAAGATAATTTAAATCAA